CTCAAGACTATTATTAAAATAAACAAGTTCAAAAAAGTACATCATAAAGTTAAGTAAAATTTTCCTATAATAATCATTAAAAGCTAATCTTAACAAAGTTATCATGAAATTTATGTGATTCTCTATTTATTGGATGTATATAGCGCGTTTGCAACTGATAAAATTATTTCACTTCATAGATTTCGGATTTGTAAACCGTATTCATATTGTTCATATCATTATTCATTATTTCTCACGTGAACTGTCGTTATCAGAATGGTATCAAAAACTCACATTATGAAGCTATCGTATTACACAAAAGTGATAAAAGTAATCGCCATATTTCTAAAATTTTGAATATTCCTCGACGTACTGAAAAAAAATCCATGTAATAAAATTCAGAACTACTGGCAGTGTTGAAAACAAAATCGCTGCTGTGGATCAAGGAAAACTGCAAAGTCTAATGATAAATACATTGTAAGTTAAAATTTACGTAATAGACACTTTAGAGCTAGACAAATTGCTGTTGATGTGAACAATCAAATAAAGAAACCTGTAAGTGAAGCAACCGTAAAGCGCTGACAACGTGAAAATAATTTGTTAGGTAGAATTACAGTAAAGAAACCGCTATTGAGAAAATAAAATATTACGAAGAGATTAAAAGGGGCTAAAGAACATAAAAGCTGGACAATAGCAAATTGGAAACAGGTGCTTCGGACCGATAAGTCTAAATTTAAGATTTTTGGTTTTAAAAGATCCGCTTAGGTTCGAAGATGTACAGAAGAGAAATTTGCAAAAAATTGTATTGTGCCAACGGTGAAGTTTCGTGGCGGTTCTGTAATACGAGGTCTGTCCGGAAAGTATCGGGCCTACGTTTATATCTTCGCGCCATAGTGTTCGAGCAACCTCTACCGGACAGAAAAGTCAACAGTAAAGCCTCACGAATCTATTGGTTACTTACTGACATCTGCCAGACGTATAGTTCATGCGCAGCGTATCTTTGTTTACAGTGCCTTTTTCGCGTTCGTCGGATTTTGATATTGTCAAAAATGACTGAAAAACAAGATCAACGAATTTGCATCAAATTTTGCTTTCAATTCGGAAAAACGAGTTCGGAAACTATTGAAATGATACAAAAGGCCTTCGGAAGCGAGTGTATGAGCAAAACACGAATAAAAGAGTGGTATAAACGGTTCAAGGATGGTCGCACTTCTGTCGATAGTGATTCTCGTTCCGGCCGACCTTCGACGACAAAAACCGCAGATAATATTGAGCGGGTGCGACTTGCAATCGAACAAGATCGTCGTATGACTATACGAGAACTAGAAGAAGACCTTGGAATACCAAAAACTATCATTTTAGAAATTTTAACCGAAAATTTAGGAATGAAACGCGTGTGTGCGAAATTCATCCCAAAATTGCTCACAACAGAGCAGAAGAACATTCGCTTAGAAATCGCTCTGGACAATCTGGAAATGGTCAATAATGATGATAATGTGCTTAGAAAAGTTATTACAGGTGATTAATTATGGGTTTATGGTTATGATCCTGAAACAAAATAACAATCTTCACAGTGGAAGCATTCTGAATCGCCAAGACCAAAAAAAGCACGTCAAAGTCGGAGCAACGTGAAGTCAATGTTGATTGTTTTTTTCGATTGTAAAGGTGTTGTACATCACGAATATGCACCAATAGGTCAGACAATCAATAAAGAATACTACGTTCAAATTTTGAAACGTTTGCGTGATGCAGTAAGAAAAAAAACGGCCGCACTTTTGGGAAAGTGGTGACTGGCTTCTCCATCACAATAATGCGCCAGCGCATTCATCCAATCTTGTGCAGCAGTTTTTGAGCAAACAATATCGCATGGGTTCGACAACCTCCATACAGTCTCGACATAGCTCCTTGTGACTTTTGGCTGTTTTCAAAACTAAAAAAACCACTCACCGATTCGATGACAAAACAACGGTTGAAAACAATGGTATGAGTGTACTTAAGGCTATCCCTAAAAGTAAGTTCCAGAACTGTTTTGAAAAGTGGACACATCGATGGAACCGTGTTATTCAATCAAGTGGGGATTACTTTGAAGGATGCCACCCACCAGATGAGAAAGAATAACGCTAGCACGAAAATATAAAGGTAGGCCCGATACTTTCCGGATAGATCTCGTATGAAAGGTATGCCCTACGTCGCGGACAAATCTATGAGCTATTATTGAAAGAATAATGGAATAAAATCTCGGAAAATACGTTAAACAAGCTTGTTAACAGGATGCCTAGAATTTTCTGAGCAGTAATTAAAAGTAAAGGTAGATACTTTGATGAAAGTAATGATTAATTTATTCTCTAATTCAATGTTATTTATAAATGATGATATTATTATTATGTGAGAACTATTTATTGTACACAGTTAATATAATTAATGAATAAATTTATATATATTTACGACCAATGCTAAAAACAACTTATTTCGAAAAATGAAAAAAAACTTATTTTGAACAATTGACTGGCACTGTAGATAAACTTCTAGCAGTAGGTTGTTTTCCGTTTACTCGTTATTATTATTATAAAAGTCAATTGCAATTATATGTAAGCTGACAATTATGCATATAATTATTATGCATATAAACTGTTGTGTACCGTAACATACGTGACAATTGATATATATAGATATACCGTGCCATATTTCCGGCGCACAATATAGTTCATAAGCATAATAATTATGTGCTCGATTGTAAGCTTGTCTAATTATACAAGGTATCATTATTATCAATAATTTTTAAATTATCAACTTTTACAAATATCGAATATCCATCAATTTAATTCTAACTAAATTTTTTTAGTTATTTGGTTTTTAAATAATTTTGTTTGTATTTTACTGTTAAAGTGAAGAAAATGACTTGAATAGATATAGTTTCGAGTATACATAGGTTTAATTAATTTACTTCATTTAGTTTCATTGATGAAATAATTTATAAGTCTAAAAAGAGTTAAATCAGAGAAGTATGATTATCATGTTATTTTACGTACATTAAGATAGTACTAATAGTAAGTGATTGACGCTTCAGAATGACATAAAATAATACTTATGATTATATTCCAGAAACTACAACCAACAAAAAATAAAACCTATTTTTGTAACGTATTTTTAACAGCTAGATCTAATGTTATTATTGTTATTATTACTTTGTGAACTACATTTATATGGAACGCTGCAGAGGTACACTAGGTGTTTATACGTATTATTCTTGGTTTCATGAGCATGTAGATTTAATTTTTCTACTACTTTTGAGATGGTGAGAGTGGTGAATGAGACTTTTACACGTATTATGACTGGACCTACAGTTTAAGATAGAAAACGAATTACCAGAATTACGGTAACAATCATGAAATTTTTACATTTCTGAACATTTTTATATCCTCGGAGTTTGAATTCACAAGCTATTGCACAAAAGTCTGAGCCTTTATAAACTGAACCACTATAATTCCGTTACTAATTATTTTAGTTTAAAGAAGTAAATTGTTAATCCCACAATGATTTAAAACATCATATTATACAGTACATACAAAACAAAATTTTTACTGAAACTATTGTAAGTACCTTTCCCCAAATTTTGAGGCATTTAAGAACCTTAACCATGGTGAACCTCTTTCCGCTATAGACTATACAAACTTTAGAAAAATATCTACTTCAATATATGTTATGCCATTATTATAAATGCTATATGTTAACAACATTCCAAAATCAATATATGAATTAAAATTTAATTACATTATATCTTTTATGACATATTTGACACATAAAATCTACATTGTAAAATCAACATATTCTGTACTTAAAGAGAGTAAACTTCAAAATTAGAGGTCTCAAATGGCTCAAAACTGAAATGAAACTTTCTTTTCATAAACCAAATATAAACTCACTTATTTCGACCAATACACAACAATAAAAATTGTTCAACGCAAAAAAATATCTAATCCTTTAGTTGTTAAATTTAAATAATTTTCAAAAATAAATAATATTTTTTCGCACTTAAACATCATAGTAGCATTATATGTTTAACAGACATTTTATATCTTATGCGACAGTAGTTTAATTTCAAAATGCAAAGTAAGAATTTTGAAGATAATCCGTTCTTGCATTTACGAAATGTACTATTTTAGGGTTGTTTCAAACCTCGACAATACTCTAATATTGTCAATAGTACTTTTTGTCTATACGAAGTAATTTTTTTTACTTTAATCTTAAAATTTTTTATGCAACATTTCAAAATACATGAATATTACCATAGCTTACTCTTCGCTGTATAATGTATACAATTATTCTATATCCCAAACTCTGGTAATTAACTTAATTAATTTTTAATGAAGTTTTGGGTAGCGAGTAAATCTTTATGAATCATTTCATTATTTCAAATTAAATACACAATTATCAAAACTTATCTTTATTTTATTTGCATAATGATGATCGAATAGAGAACCGAAAAATAGTTTCATTGTCTAAAAGTAAACATCGATATTCCGTGAGCATCGTGATAAATAAGTAAACATTAAAGTTTATAAAAGATATCAAATTCGGATTGTAGATCTCGTTCAAGACAACTATAACTTAGATTAGCTTGAAATTTTGTACTCACACCTTAACTATTTATTACATTTTAATTAAGTGATGTAATATTCGAAATCTATTGATACGATATATTCCAAATATTGTAAGCCGTACATCACTTACTGGTAGTACTAGCTTATATAATCAGTTTAGTTGTATCAGTTACAAAGTATTTATTTCTTTATAAACCATGCTTTTTATATACTAATTATTATTCTAAGTATGATTAATACTAGCACACCGTTTTAAAATCTATAAAACTCTAAAGCACAAAAAAATAAACTAAGTAGAAGGAAAAATTAATAACAAAAGAAATAAGTTAATCACTAATCACATTGTTTCTATTATATTATATGCTGTTATTTACAATAATTAGCCTATTATAACACTGATTAAAAAATATTCTACCGTACAAATATATTTGGCGAAGTGACACTCTCAAGTAGTCGATTGTTCAACAGCCAGTAAAGAGTGACGAGGTAGAAGAAATCGAGGGTCTTCTTATCCATATTGGTCTCGGCCGAAAATAGCAATCAACGCCCCATACATGGAAATCTGCCTGACTGCAACGCATTTATTCTCTCTCTCAAATAACTAGTCCTGAGTAACCCTCCCCTCTCCCTAACGCGAAGACATAATCACGATTAGATCTTTTAGTAGTTAAAAAAGGAAAAACCACTATCTCCCGCATTAATTGTGTAAATTTCTTTCAAAACAATATACAAGTAAATTAATTTATTCAATAATTTATACGTGACTATTAATTTTATAATTAATTTTATAAGAAATCAAATACGCAAATATAAGAATAGACACGCGCGTCTTAAAATGAGTTTGTAACTCTCAAAAATGGATATTATTTATAATTTAACTATAATAAATGTTTTATTTATTTGAAATTCTAGAAAAATAAAAATATTATATTGGTTAATAAATTATACCGTCATCACTAATGAATTTCAATTTTTTCTAGACAATTTTGAGGAGATTTTGGCCAGTTTCATAGAACTTTGTCAAATTCTATAAGAAAAAATTATAATCAAATAAATCTTCAAAGAAAAAAATGGAATCAAAAGTAACATTTTAATAACTTTTTGACATGTCTTTGAAATTTACGACTTACGATATGTACTCACCCTTTCAGTATGTTGCTAAAGTACACATAGATCGATACTTACAAGGAAGGTACCCCAACCCGAACTTACCGATTTTGATAATTTTTGTATATGTAGTAGTACATTAAAAAAATCAAGAGATTGGTATTTTGTTATCGGCGGAAAAACATATTTAAAGCGTGAAATCCACCCTCAAAGTTCACCGCCAAAAACATTTTTTTCAAATAACTTTTCTTCTAGTCAATATTTTTTAGTAAAACGAAGTGGGTAATAATCCTTATAAAAGGTAAAACAAACTCTGGTGTGTTAGACTTTGGGGGTTGCAACCCCTAATTTTAATACACGAAAAATTGAAAAATTGACATCGTTTTCTGCAGTAAAAACTTCTGAAATAGTGTAATTATAACCAAATTTTTATATTTATAAAGAAAGTAGAAAAAATAAGTTTTTGTTTTCCAGCATTTTTAATAAAAAATATTTTTAGAGGGTAAAGCCACCCCTATTAATGAAAATTAGAACTTTCGATATTAAAATTATTTAAAAGCGAATTTTTTAATTTTTACTGCTTTATAGATATTATTATAATAAAAATATTCTAAAAATACTTTTAAAGGGTGAAATCTACCCTCAAAGTTCACCCCCAAAAACAGGTCTTTTTAAATAGCTTTTTTCCTAATCAATATTTTTTAGTAAAACCAAGTGGGTAACATTCCTTATCGAATGTATAACAAATTCTGGTGACATTGACTTTTGGGGGTTGCAAACTCTATTTTTGATAGGTGAAAAATTGAAAAATTTACATGAATTTTCGCAGTGGAAAAATAGTTTTGTTTTGAGCAGATGTTGATATTTTGAAAGAAAATAGAAAAATAGAATCCTTCAATTTCTGAATTATCAATAACAAATAATTAGAGAGGGTAAAACTACTCTTATTAATAAAAATTATTATTTAATGAGTAGATAATGCGAAAGTTTGAAATAAATTTTCTAATTTTTATTACTCGATAACCGTCGCCATACTAAAAATGTTGGAAAAAAGTGAATAATTTAATTATTATTATAATATTATTTTAACTTTTTCAAACGCGAGTGGTCAAATATTAAATTTTGATTAATGATAATAATAATGGAATAATAATGAAAGAATAATAATAATAATGAAGGAAATAACATTTGTTTGTTTATTAGTATTGTAGAATATTATAGTTTGATAAAATGTTTATGTACAAAAGAGTAAGATTTTTCAATTATTAAATTTAATTTAACATATGGAAAATAAATATCAAAGCTGAACCAAATGAAATTATGTTATTAAATTTTTTAATTTTATTCATACGTTGAAAGTGAGAGTTGAAAATACTTACAATTAAGAAAACAAGATAAAAATACTATCAAATGAAATGTGTTATCTGTCTTATATATATCGTAGAAGTTTTCGTAAACATAAGATATTAGTTTGAATTCTGTCTTTACTAGACGAACGTGATTCGGGGAGTTAAATAATTTCTTCAACACTTTCAAATTTAAATTCATAAAATAATTTATTCTTAATTTTTGTTTTATCGAAAAGGTAAGAAATTTCGAATGTTTATTTATCATTCCATTAACACAGTCTATTAACAAAAGTAATTAATGTAATTGCAGTATCGACGATGAGAATCAATCTTTAAAACGTAATCAATTTATTGCTAGCAGACTTTCAAACATTGAACATACCAATTAATAGCCCAACTACTTATCAAGAAAATTAGTTAGCAGAAAACATAAGAAATATTTTAATAGATACGATGGATGAATTTCACAATGTAAAAATAATTTCAGAAGAAATGTTAGATTTCCAGGAGGAATACAAGGATCCTGATGCACAAATTATCGAGGATGATATAATGCATAATTCTCCTCCTCCTGTAGAATTTCCAACAGATTAGTGTAAAGAAGATAGAGAAGATTCATCTTTTGATTATAAAGAATTATGGCGGAGTGGGAAATGAAAAAATTTGAATCTTGAGAGCGTGAAACGTAAATTCACACTCTCAAGACTCAAGTAAGTAAATAAATAAAAGTAAAAATCCATGCATTAGATGTATACGGATTTCAAGTGTGGGAAAACTTTGTTCGACGTTTTTCAGATAACGTTATTTTAATGGATTACAATATGAATTTACATTCAAGAAATAATATTATTAAGCTTTAGTCATTGGTTCATAACCAATTTTCGTCAACAAGATATTTAAATTTTTTTAAATAATTATAGTTTAAATGTGGATATCTCGAAGAAAAACCGGAAAAATTTAATAATCTGATTGATTTCAGTTTCGAGAATTCTTGTAGTTCAAAATGCAAAATCGAAGACTGCCAAAATGCTACAATTATACGTTGTGGCTGGTGTAAAAAGTCCCTATGTTTTGTGAAAGGGGATTTCGGGGGGCGTAGGCCTCACCAGCTAAAATCGCCAACACCAATTTCGTTGGACGTGATTTTCCTAATTTTGGTAGCAAGGTGTCAGATCACCGCCCTTACCTACAGTAATCGTTGGAAAATCGAGTCAACGGCGAATTCGTCGGTAGAATTGCCCACCGTGCGACTGCGCAGAGCGGGCGATGAAATTTCAAAATTCCAAAACTGTTCGAAACTTGAAAAATTCACTTAAAGCTCCGACGATGTTTGTCCTGATATACTCGTTCAAATCAATCCTTTATCCAATACCCTGATTCCAGCAGAATCACAGAGGATATCCGGTCGCTTAGCTCTCACTCCTTTGTTTCAGGTCGTGTTTCGTCGAATCGTACGTTTCGTTACCGTAAAGAGAAAATTAATTCAAATTTCACTTATAAAATTCCGTCCGCGGCTGAAAATAATTTGCAGAGGAAATTTGGAACTTAGGTGGAATTACCGGAACGCAATATCAAGTTAACTTTATTTATTCGTAAAGCCATACACCGCGCACTGAAATGGCGGAAGGTCAACGCGCTTCGGTCAGAACTCGCAATCGCGACCGCGACGGATCTACGCGCCTCGGTGAATTACGGTCTACACGTATCCTATCGCCCTAACTATTCGCGAAGGTCAGTCACACTTCAACTACTTACTTGGGAATAATGCGGCGATAAATCCTTCACAAAAGAAATATGCTCTATTCGCTATCTACGCTCGGAACTGTCCTTGGCGAGATCCAGTGGCAAAATGGAAGAGAAACGGTTCTCCACGGTCAAAGATCTCTCATTCTCTCCTCTTTCCGAGAAGAAACACTATTATTGGCCGATATGTAAATTCGGATATCGGTAGCGCCCTCCGAGTGTGTCGTTATTGGTCAATATATAAATTAAGAAGGTAACAGTGCCCCTCGTCTTATCTGTTACGCATCAATTTTTACCCTCTCTCACCCCCCACTAGGTCGGTCAGCATTTAATCTAAGAGAGAGATTCATCCCTACTCTTGTCGGAATTTTGATGAGGACGGAAATCAAATATCCTAATGATTTGCCTATTGGTCGTGACGTCATCAACAAATTTCGTCAGAGTTTCAAATTTCATCGGCTAGCTATTAATTTCAATAAATGCGCGGCTTATCGCTTTCAAGTATATATAAGAGCGTGCGAAATTACATACATTATTTAATCCATACGATACGGTTCAATTATAATTAATGCATTTAATTTAAGTCAGTTCTAAATTTAAAACAAGTTTTAAATCGCCTTACATTTATTTACAATTAATTCGCATACGCGTACAAATAAATCGTAATTTTGAGTCAACTATAGGCGCGCCTTTAGTAATCTATCTATCTCGCTCTTTCTTCCCCTCAATTAGTCTATCTCGCTCGCACTCCCGCTTAGTCTACCGCGCCGCCGTTCTGTCTAGCTTAGCGCTCCAAAATGGCCGCCTACTCTTTAGCGCGTGCACCTCGTGTCTCGGTGCCGGTAATCGTAGCGCCTCCTGGAGCGCTCCGTTTTTCGGTCGTGTGCGGTTTCGGAGTGTTGTATGTGAGTGTCGGCAGTGGTTCATCTCAAGTGTGTGTGTGGCGTTCAGGGTGTCGTCGATGGTGCGCAGCAGCCTGACTCAGCTGATTGCCGGCTGCCGCTTCATCGGCGATTTTCTGTTCGCCCCAGGAGTGTCAGCGTGCTCCGGGTGTCAGTGTCAGTGTCTGGGAGTGTAACGGGTCGGTACGTGTCGTTACGTGCATTTCCGCTGCACTTTTCAGTCAAGTTTTCTCGTTTTTCTTGCCCGCCGGCAACACGTGGTCAGGAGTGTGTGCATGTGCTCTCTCTCTCGTGCGCTCTTTTTTTTTTTCATCCGTCGGATCGCGACAGCTCGTCTGTTTTCCTTGTTTACTCGGTTGTGGTTGACATGTAAGGAAAAATATGATTTTCACATTAGGCGCGTTTTAATTAAGTATTTTCAGCTAGCTACGGGGCGGCAAGGGACAGGGATGGCTTTTTC